TGACTTGTTCATTTGAATGCGTGTGTACCTGTGTGTGTCAGGCAGCCAGGCAGGCAGGCAAAGCCAGACAGCAGATGATCTCAGAGCCCTTGGCCCCACTGCTCAACCGCTACCAAATACATTTCTGGGGGCCGTCAGGAATAAAAACTGTTAATTCAGAATGAGGGACAGGGCCGCTGGGGCGGCAGGGAAGCTGGCTTTGCGGTGGAGGGAAGTCATAACCTCCAGAGCCCCAGGAAGAGGGCCCAGACCAGGGCTGCAGTCAAGGCCGTGGCTTTGTCCCTCTCTGGGAACCTACCTCTGCTGCTGTGTGTTCCCGAGGGGCTGCCGCCAACGCCTCATCTCTGGGACAGGGGTTTTCTCTGTGGCTCCTCACTAGTCCATGCAGCAGTCTCACCTGGACTTCTTTTCAGCAACCAGAACCCCCCCCATGCCACAGAAGAGCTGCCAGGGAAAGACTCCCAGGCCGGAGGGAAGGGGGCCGGGCAGAGCAAGCGGGAAAATCCTCTGGGCTCAGAAGCAGCTCCGTTCAAAAGCCTGGACTGGGAAGGAGCTGGTTTAGAGAGGCTGTCGCCTTTCCTGGGAGGACCTGGATCTCTGAAGCAGCGTGGTGCTTCTTTCCAGCAAATTCTGATTCCCAGTCAAGAGACAGCTGGCGAATGACCACTGCATATCAGACACAGCGAAGAGCGCTGCCGCTTCCTTTCAGTTCCCACAGTCACCCCTGGAGTTAAAGATGATCACCTCCACTTTAAAGAGGAAGAAACTGGGGCTTAGAGAGTTAATGTCCATTTGCCCCTCATCACAAAATCAGTAAGGTTGAATCCAGGCCTATCTGACTCCGAACCCAGGGTTCTCCCCCCTACCCCCAACCCACCTGAGTGGCACCGAGCTCCGGTTGCTGCTACACATTTGTACTTCACAGCTACAATGAAATGATTACAGTGAGGACCTGCCCACTTTCCTTCTGGGAGACAGCAAAGTGGGAGGTCTTTTGGGGGGGATCCGGGAGATGCCTGCTCCCCGTGGGATGGGAAAAAGGGAGACATGGTCAAGTCACTTTCAAGTCTTCATTTCCCCCTTTGCTTGTTTGAACTTGAAAGCAATTGTGCTGTGTAAATTAACAGAATTCTGCTCCAAACCTAAAAGGTCATTAAACATTGCCTCACTAAACATTTGCTGATCTTGAAGGCATTTTTGAGGGTGAACCTGGAAATGGTTTTCCAACCCCAGGAGCCCTGGATCAGTTAACTAGGCTCCGGCCCCACCTGTACCACTGACCCGCTATCTGACCTTGGACCCTTGAGGGCACCTCTGTGGAGTTCAGGAAGGGGCTGCAAGGGAGCCAATCAGAGCACACTCACAACAAAGGAGCTTGTCAGGAAGCTACAGAACAAGTACAGAGCAACCTCTGACAGGTACATTCCCTGAGCGAAACTGTAAATATCAGTGGACGACATCAGAAAGCTAAAATATTTCTTCTATATATAGAATATAAAAGTAATATATACGCCCATAAAAATTTACCAAAGGATAACATTTCTCGAACAGTATATAAAGGAAGTGTTTCTTAATAGCTGATGCTGGTGTAACTGGATAGGAATAAGATCTGGATGGAGTAAAGGATTACCGTAGCTTTTTTCCTGCCTGAATCATAGAAAAAGTAGTGGGAAATAGAAGCATAAATTTATGAAATCTGAAAAGGGATGAAAACTGTCCCAGGCCCGAAGCAACAGAAGGAATCGTGAAGGAAAAAGCCCAACAAGTTCAACTACAGAAAAAAATAAGACATTATTTTACTACGATATTATACTATAACAACGGATTCATATTTATGGTAACTGGTAACTTTACAATCTAGTATTGAGGAAAACCATTAAGATCCCAAGGATATGAAAAGACAATTCCTTCAAGCAGAACTTAAAATAGGAAACAAAAACCTGGAACATGGGCCCTGGTTATGTGGCTCAATTGGCCAGAGCATTGTCCTGATAAGCCAAGGTTGTGGGTTCAATCCCCGGTCGGGGCACATTCAAGAATCAACCAATGAGTGCATCAATAAGTGGAACAACAAAATGGATGTCTCTCTTTCCCCACTTTTCTCCCACTCTATCTACAATTAAGCAATCAATAAAAACCATGGGGTGAGGTGGGGGAGATGAGCGGTGGTCTTCAGGTTCCCCAACTGCTGCAACTTCTGGGATCTGTGCAGAAGACTGCGGAGGGGTGAGGATGACCTGCTGTCCACCTGCTGGGGGCAAATGCCCAGCATCAGGGGCGGGGGATCGGCTGGATAAACTTCTAAGGGACTGGGGTCACCTGCTTCCTTCACCTCCCAACTCCACACAGGGCATCTAGGCCCTTTAGTTGAGGAGTGACCACATAAGGCCAAACTTCCGGTTTCCAGCCTTGGGGGGCCAATTAGCTTCACGCTTCGTCGAAGCTACCCCCTGTGCTGCAGAACTAGATGACGGGAAGAAGTGGGTCCCGTTCCATCCCTAACACCTGGGAAAAGGTCCCGGCAGGTGCCAGTTTGAAACAAGCCGACCACTGGTGCTCCCTTGGTCCAGGAGGGGAGAACTAACTGGGGCCAGCCTTCCATCCCGTTGACCTCTGGGAAATGAAGTCCAGGGCCTGCCTGCAATCCCCAGCCTAATGTTCTTTCTTAAGAGCACCAAGTTCAACATCACCAAATCCTACCTTTATGCAGGCCCAGAGGAACGTGCATTCATTTGGGAAGCTTCATACCTACTCTTCATCTAGTCCTGTCAGGGGAACGGCCCAGGGCTGGCTTCACAGAGCAACGGGACAAGCACAGAGGGGCTGGATATCCACCAGGGGTCAGGCCCTGCCCCCCTCAACACAAAAGCACGGATGGGAAGGAGGAAGACAAGGACAGGCTTCCAAGGCTACATAAGGGATGCAGAGTAGACAGAACTTGTGAAAAAAAAAAAACAACAACTGTTTGTTCAGAGAAAGTTTAAGGAGTTTCTCTCCTAGAATGGATTTTGCCTGTCCAGAACAGTTTCTCCGTGGGTCTTCCCAGCGGCATGGGGACGGTCTTTGTGACACTCAGGACCTCCCTCTAGTGGCAGAAACAACTGCAGAGACCACCCACTAATAATACCAGGCAGGTACTTCCACATTCTCTCTGCTCCCCCCAGTTCCAAATTCTTCCTAGGAGAAGTTTTCCTCCACTCATCCAAATAGTTTGTTTTAAAATGTAAACACACACCCAAGGATTAGCAAGGGAAATTAATCTGATGAGAAACACAGATGCAGACAGAGAAACACAGAATGATACACTGTGTTCTAGGTTCTGATTCTAAATCCGACAAGAAGTGTGAAGGGCTGGCAGCTTGCTGGTCGGTATCGGTGGCAGCGCGCGGCTCCCGCCTGCCTCAGGGCAGCAGGCCAGCAGCTGCTGCACTCTTGGGAGCTGAGGGAGAGTGGGTGGCACTTAGGAGCAGAAGGAAGGAGATGTGCCACCCCTCGGGACAGGAGCCACTGGACGCTCCCCCAACTGCAGCCAGACCTCGTGTTAACGTGGATGACACCCCACACACCCCCAGGCCCCCAGTGTCTTTCAAGCTGCAACACCATGTCTTTGGTCCCACCTGGGTGTCTGCATTTAGCTGGCTCCTCAAACTGAACTTGTCTGGAACTAAAGTTGTCATTTTTGCCAATCCCACCACCCCGACTCTGCCTTTTCCTTTTCCTCCTAAATTCAGAATCTCAAAATTACATATTGTGTTTTGCTGTGTGTAATGAGCACTTTTTGCCAAAATTTTTGAGGAAAAAACATGGGCAGTAAGTACCACGGGCATGCATTATACACGGGCAGCACTGAGGCATCATGGGTGCACACTGCACACGGGAGCACATCACGCAGGACAATATACAGGACGCGGTTCACCTCGCCTTTCAGTCTAGTCAGCTCTTCCAAATCTCTGACGCCGCGTCCCTCTTCCTTTCCATTCTCAGTGTCATCTCCCAAGTCAAGCGCCTGTGTCCAGGTGCTGCAGCAGGCTCCTGGCTAGTGTCTCTCCTCCCGGGAGCCCACCCCAGCTCCACCCCCCTATCACACAGAATCTTCCCAAAGCGTGGCCTGGATCCCGTAACACGCCTGCTTCAAAATAGTCAAAGGCTTCCCCTGCCTCCAGCAGGACAGAGTCCATCTGGTCCGAGCTACTTTCTCAGCTTTATCTTCCTCCCAACAAAACACATCCCTCTGACCCCACCAGACTGGTCTCTTTAAAGCTGCCCGGACTTCATGGCACAATCACTGTGCCCCAGGACCATGGTGTTCACTGTCCCCCCCCACTCTGGGACATCTCTTGCTCCCTCTCGTGCATCATGGACCAAGGAAGCAGAGGGACATACACAGCAGCACTCAACACGAGTACTAAGCAGAGAGAACCACTTCGTGGCTGCATTTCAAGTGTCTGTCTTGGATTCCCAAGTTGGCCCCTCCTGACTCCACTCTGTTCCTCACACCTAGACTCTAAGTATCGCAAACAATCACATTCTACTTACCCCACAGCCCGCCCTACATTTCTGCCAGAAAAATTTGAGTCAGCTTTCAAAAGAGCCCATGTTGCAAGTAACCCCCCAAGGATGGTGGAGATTTGACTTCACTGGTGGCCACAGATCTTTAAGAATGGGGGTAGAGGAGAAGAAGGGATGCCAACCTAAGCCTTCCCCCCCACCAGCCTGACTGCAATCCCCTGGCACAGCGAGGCCATCCCCGACTTTCAGTGTGTACTGTCCAACTTCCAGCTGGTATGAACCCAGCTCTGATGAAGAGGATTTTCGAGGAGGAGGGAGGGAAGGATGTCTCAGGGGAGCCTCCCCACTGAAACCTGGAGAGCACCAGGTAGTTCCTATGGGAGATGCACTAGGCCACACCCCCACCCCACCTCACCATCTCAGGGGTGCAGAGCAGGGAGACTGATTTCGGGGAGGGCTGGAAGGAAGGGGGGATTTAATTGCTCACATACCTGATCAAACAGGACTTTCCAGTGCTGGTAGAGAGGGAGGCCATGCAGGAGAGGAGGAAGAGGAGAGAAAGAAAGAAACACACACTTATCACCAAGGCTTCTGTGGACCCCATTCCTGACGTAGCCTCCCAGCTGCTCCCCAGGTCCAGGGACCCACGACAAGAGACCGGGGAGAACCTGGGAAGATCTCCCCACATGAGTCTGTGCTGAGCAAAAGGAGGGAACTCAGGTGGGGGAGGAGGGAGGAGCATCCCTCCTTCCCAGACAGGCGGGCAGAATGATGAGCAGAAGAGTGAGTCTCAACAATGACTAAATAAAGGCATCCAGCTCTGTCCAAGGGCCTCTAAAAACCTCTAATAACTACAAAGCCTGCATCCACTTCTGCTGCCCGGCCAGGGATGCACACCAGGGTGCCATTCCATCGGACCTGCTGCAGCGGTCTCAACCTGCTGGGGGCCCAGAGACCCCTTCCTCAGGAAGACTCGTCCTGCCCAAACACTAACGTGTTCCTGCAGCTCCGGAGGAAGGGACGCCCCCAGCGTGCTGAGTCTAAGTGGTGAGGACAGGAGGTTCTACCAGGGCCTTGGGGCCGGAAACAAGCCAGAGGTTTAACTATGGGAGCCCAAGGGAAGGAAGATGTTAAGCTCCCCCAGAGCACATTCAGAACTCGGTCTTTCGGCTTAGGTTAGGTCGGCTGGGCTGGCGAGGTGGGGGGCGGGGGGGGGGGGCTGGCTTCACCTCCACATTCCCCTCGCCCTGAGCGAGCGATGGGGCAGGGCGAGTGCCTGCTCAGTTCTCGCTCCCTCAGGGCAGGTTAACCCTGGGAGGGCCGGGCTCGGGAAACTCCAGTTCCCAGGACTCCCCAGTGCCGGCTGCGCAGCTGACTTCCAGGACCCAAGGCGGGAGGAGGGGAGCTGGAGCGGCAGCCCGCAGGGAAGCCCTCTGGGGCAGCCCCTCCCCTCCTCGCCAGGGGGCGGACGCGGTCTGGGACTCGGGAGCCCCCTTCTGGACTCCAGTCCCTCCTCCCGCCGGGCTCCGGGAGACCAGCCAGCTTGAATTTCAATCGGTGCCGCGACAGGGCAGGTGCCCGGCAGGAGCTAATCCGAGAGCGGAGAAGGGGGTCGCCAGACCGGTCCAGGGTGCAGGGCTCCCGGGACTCTGCGGCGCCCGCCCCTCCCCGGGGCTCGGAGAGCCCGCAGGTCGCGAGTGGGAGGGGAGGAGAGTCGCTGCTGTGACGCGGCCGCCTCTGCGGGAAAACGCCGTGTCCCGGGCACTGCACCAGCCACCGGGAAGGGGCTCCAGCGGCCGACGGGTCCCCAGCGCCGCGGCGGGGGCTGTGTCGCGCAGGGAAGCCGCGGGAGCCGAAGAGGGGGTGGCGCTCGCGCTTTGGGGGAGACCGGTCCCACCGGCCCCATCGCTCCCTCCCGCCCGCGGGGACCCGGCCAATCCCGGGCGCTCCCGCGTCACCTTGAAACCTCCAAGTTGCCCAACGGAGGCGGGTCTGGGGCAGCTCTCCTCCTCGAGCCCCCCAGAAAGTTTGCCCGGGCGGGGGAGGGGACACTCACGTCCTCGGGCGCCGCCGCGGGCTGCTCGTCGGCCTCGGGTCCCAGCTCCTCGATGCGCTCCGCCTCGGCGCAGGCGGCCACTGCGGGGCCCGGGCTGGGGTGCTCGCCCATGCCGAAGCGCGATCCGGGGACAGCCAGCGGCTGCGGCGTTGGCCCCGGGGCGCCAGGCTAACTTTGTGCCGCGGCGACCACGCCGCCCGGAGGACTCAGTGCGCGCCGCGCCGCCCCCGCGCCCAGCCCCATGGCCCCAAACCCCGCACCGCCGCCAGGCGACCCGGGGACGCCAGCCCCTCCGCAGCCAAACTTCTCCCGGCTTGCGGCCCGCCGGCTCCGCCTCGGCCCCCACACCCGGCTCTGCGGCGAGGGCGCCCTTGGGCCGGTCCCAGCCCCGCGGCTCCCCGCGCTCCTTTCCCGCTTCCCGCGGCCCCCGCTCTGCGCCCGAGTCTCCTCCTCCCCACGGACTCCTCGCGGGCGGCGCGCAGGCGGGGGCGGGGCTGCTCCGGGGCCCGGCGTCCCCCGCCCCCTTCCCCCAGACGCCACCACCCGGGCCGGAACGGTCAGAGCAGGCGGCCCGGGGAGGGCGGAGGGCTGCGGCGGGGCTGGCAGGCAGGCGGCTGCGCCTCCCGGGACGCGGTTGGTGCTGCGCCGTCTCCGGCCCCCTCACTACCAGCCTCCACCCCAGGGTCGGGTTTGACTCTTTGCACCGGGCCGGGGTGAGCGGGGTGGGGGGTGGGGGTGGAGGCGGGTGCGGTGTGCGCTCCTGAGAGTCACCGGGCAGCAGATGCGTGAAGGAGGCAGGAGGTTTCACTACTTTGGCAACCTCGGGGTTAACTGGAAGTGGACTGGGGGACGGACGCTGAGAGGCCGGGATTGCGATCACCTCTTCATTCAAGTCTCAGGTTCTGGGAGGTCCAGGCAGGCCCAGTTATTTGGGGATGGGAGACTGTCGGGTAGGGGAGCCCCGGACCCCAGACCCCAAATCTTGCCCTCCTTACACCCGGAGATCTGTGACAGTGCCCTGGCTTCGTGTGACCAGGCTGACAGGGAAATGCCCCTACTAAAAAGCAAGTAGGAATGAAGTTAGGGGATATTTTAAAGAAAACAAACAAACAAGTAAACAAAAATGGAGCTAGTTCCCTGCGGGAGAGACCTTCCCAGAGAGACTGTCTCCCCGAGCAGAGGCCCCGCCTGTAACCCGGGCCGGCGCGGGCTGGGCCAGGTGCGGCTTCGCAGGAAGGCGCATTCCTGCCGCGGTCTCACCACCGTCAGTGCCCAGCCAGGACCCAGGCTGTCCCCTTCCACTCCTCGTCCTTCTTCTTCTCACCACCCACCTACTCACTCCCTCGTGGCCCTTGCTCCCTCTCAGAAACTGAGGCTCTTTTCCAAAAAATGAAAACTGCAGTTGATGCCTTCAGGGCCATAAAGCAAACACGTAACCCCAGCCCCAGCTCCAACCTGTGACCATCTCACCGACAAGGACTGCTCCCCTAAACACCGGAAAGGAAATTAACATCGTTCTAATTAGGTGAGTTTGCTACAGACACCAATTTTCATCTCGGTTTCAGAAAGTGTGATCATTTCAACTATTTTTGTTTCTCACCACCCTCCCCCCCATCTCTACTCTACTAACAAGATCCTGCCAAGATTTCCTTGTAAATAAAACCGTCTGCTTAGGGTGTGATTTTGAAAACAGCCTTCAGGGGACAGAAGAGAGGCCGACTTCTTTGTGGAGGGAGGCAGCATGGGGCCCCAGGTCAGCGACACAGACGCTCCCCACCCTGTCCTGTCACCTGCATGATCCCTCGGCACTGGCTGTGTTATGCTTAGACCCTTCGGACTGGAGAAGTGGGTGGGGAGGGGGTGGGCCCAGGGAAGTGGGGAGAAGGGCTCAGAGATCACGTGGCCCAGCAGCCCCTGGCAGTGTTCTGGCCCCGGCCACTGCCCTTCAGATCCTGCCTCTTCTCCAGCTCAGGGACGGCCGTTATGCACTTATCCTATTCTGTCATCCCCTCTGGTGGAAGGGACCTCTGCAGGCTCAGTTCAGCTCCCCGAACATTTATGGAACTCCTGCTAAGTGCCAGTGGCTGAGCTTTGGGAATACAGAGGTGGGTAAGATCCAGATCCTGCCCTCCTGAAACCGTTTCACTGAGGGTGACAGCCAGGAAAGCCAGGTGTAGAGAAACCCAAAGGAGGGGATCCCTGTAGGTCCAAGAGGGCTTCCCAAAGGATACACCCCCCAGAACCCGGCCAAGTGGGGCAGCTGGAGGGGGCATTCCAGGCTCACAGAACCGCATAGGTGGAAGCTGGGCTTGTGCAGCAGGGTGGTATGGAAGGGGAACTGCAAGCCGTTTGGCATGGCTAGAAATTAAGGGAGGTGCTCCATGTAAAGAGCCCAGTCTGGAGGGAAGGGCTAGAAGAGTTTCATGAGAAAAACAGCTTGGACTTTGCCCCAAGGGCAATGGGGAGCCATGGAAGGATTGTGAGCAAGAGAGGAATATTTTAAAAGATCCCTCGGGCTATAGTGCAGAAGACAGACAGGAGAGAGGTTGCCCTGAGCACAGAGGGATGGGCGATGTGCTCCAGGTAAGAAATCCTGAGCGCAGCAGCAGTGGGAATAAAGGAGAGAGGGAGGATCTGGGAAGTATCTAGAAGGGTGCCTTGTGCCTCCTTCTGCCCGAGGAACATCCCTCCCCTTGGCAGACAGCGTTTCCAAAAGTCTCCTAGGAAAGACTTGCCGACCTCTAACCGGAAGCCTCTGTTCAGGGAAAGGCTTCCCCTTCCCTGGCCCCTGCTGGGGGGAGAAAGCCATCTGGACTTGGAGACAGTTGTGATAGCCAGCATCCTCCGTGAACCTGAAGTCACACTCTCACCTTCTGCTCTCAGCGTTGCCTGAGCCTCCACAGCCAGCCCCTTCCACCCTTCAGCCCCAGGGGAAGGTGCAACACGGCCCCCTCCCCAGCAGGCAGTGGGACATGGAGCCGGGGACCAAAAACCTGAGACCTCTGAGGGAGGCAAGGGGCCAGTCTGTCTGATGGCTTTGGTCCCACTCCAAGCTAAGACAGCCCCAGGACCAGTCACTCGGCACCATGCTGGGGACAGAGGAGGGAACGGGCGTGGAGCCCACTCACTCTCCCTGAACAGCTGCCAGGAGCCCAGCACTCGTAGTGCCTTCGCGTGAGGGTTCACGGGCTCTGCCTGCAGAGGATCCCGGGTCTGGTGGGAGGGGACAGCAAGCGAGGGCCGAGGGGCATTTCTACCCTGCTCCTCATTATGTGGGTGCTCTCGCCCTCAACCGCTTCCAAAGTTCCTAGCGAGACACTGAATGAACGCAAAGCAAGCTAAGAGCTTGGGAGGGAGCAGTGGAACCTCCCAAGGGTCAGACGCCGGTGGTTGGGCGGTGCAGGAGTCTGCTGCTGAGATGAGCCTCAGAGGACAGGCGGCTGTGGGGTAGAGGGTGTGGAAGGGTTTCTGGGTGGAGGGGACACTGCGGCAAAGGCGCCGAGGCAGGAAAGTGGCCACTGCGGTGAAGGGAACTGCTAAGTGGCTGAGCGAACGTGGAGACAGCCCGGTGGACAAGGACCGTGTTGCAGAAGTCCTCGAGTGCCAGCCGGAGGAGACTGGACCTCACTTGGTGGGCGATGGAGAGAAGCGGTGACGGCTTCTAACAGGAGCGGCGTTTTAGGAAGATTAAGTTGGCAGCGGCTCAAGAGTGCCATTTAACGGACACGTTGTGCGTGGCCATCGTTTGCCAGACCCCAGCTGAGGTGCTGAGAACACAAAGGGAGTGAGGCCCAGGCCGGCCTCCTGGGAGAAAATTAGATAATATGCTCTAATTACAGCCCAGCGGGCTAAGGGAGGAAGGGAGCTTTTGTTTTTTCCTTTTGTTTGTAGGATCTGATGCTCTGAACCTGGGGTGGGGTGGGAGTGGGGGCGCGGGGGCTGCCACTGGTGAACCAGAAGCCGGAGGGAGCCGCTGGGAGAGGGGAGGGGGGAGGGGAGCCGAGGAGTTAGTTTGTTTGTGGGCAATTCGAGCTAATGGGAAGCCAGGGAGGAAACATTAAGAGCTGTAATTATGGCTCAAAGCCACAGAGTGAGAGGATAAACCTCGGGGGCTGAGGAGGCGGTGACTTCCCACCAGAACCTCTCCCTCTGGGGCCTTGTCCGCCCGCAGTGTTCCACTCCTGGGCTCCCTCAGCCCGGCCCACAGCCTTGAAGGCCCTTCCTGTCCCCGAAGCGAACCCTGGACCCGTTCCCGTCCTCTCGTGGGCTCTAGCCGTCCGAGAAGCCCGCCAACAGCAGCCCCCAGCTGTCGCCTTGCCTGCCTGAGATGAAGACGTGAGTTATTTTTGACTGAGATCCAAGTCCCGGCCCTGAATTCCTGTCTTCCAGGAATCCCCCAGTCATGTTTGAAGTCTGCAAGCCCAAACAGCGGAGACGGCTGCCTGCAGTCCAACCAGCCTCCATGCCCAGCCCCGGCGGCATTCTCCCCTCACTGCCCACCGACTTGGAGATCAAACCGCACCCCCAGCCCCCCCACCCCGCTGCCTTTCGTCTCTTCCTTTGTCACTCCAGGGCCCCTAACTGAGTAACTTAAATCATTACTGAACGATGTCCAAGTTCCCAGACACCAAACCCGTTCAAAGAGAGGCGTGGGCACCCGAAAAAGCAGCTCAGAGAAGTACAGAAGACACTCTCCCGGGTCCCAGATTTAGCCAATCTCATATTTGGGAAAACTACCAGCTGTTTTGCTTGCTGAGTCTCATCTTCCCTCTCGGCCATCCCCTCGGGGCTCGGCTGGCTCCCAGGGTCTCATTTCTGGGTTTCCCTTGGACCTCCAACACTCGTGCGACCTTCGGGTTGTGCTACAGGTAGGTCTTGCCTCCTCGGTAACCTGCCCAGTCTGTCGTGCACATCTTTCTAATAAACGCTGCTCCTGCACAAAGCCTTTCCTCAGTTACCCGGCCCGAGGAGACCGCCCTTTCCTCTGAGTCACGGTTTTCATCCGACCTTGCATGAACTAAGTCTTACCCTCCTAAGGCGAGAAGAGAATGGGTGTGGCTCGAAACACAGGATATGGCCACTTACACGCGTGACCCGTGGACCTGAACAAAGGTGTGGGGTTGCCCGAGGGAGCAGGGGTGCTGGGTGGAGCGCGGCAGAGGAGGGAAAACTGAGACAACTGTAACTGCATAATCAATGAAATGCCATTTAAAAAAAGAGGAGATAGATGGTCCATTCCGTTTCACACCCATCACACCGCGGGGGCCGGACAAGTGTCTGTTTAATGACACATCTCTTGACCTGGCCGTGACGTCTAACCACACAGCGGTCACTCCCAGCCGCTTGCAAGAAACACATTTTATGTTCACGGAGAAAGGGTTCTTCTGCGTAATAAGAATACAGTTGTCGGCCCGCTGC